ACATAAACCATGCGACCAGGCTGAATCTCTAGAACCCTAAGAGGACATTCATTTATTACGCTAAATTAATATTACAGTAGTTTAATTTAGGTGATTCCACATTTAGAAACAGTTGCTTCACTCACCCTTTCTCCTTTCTCCCCACCTGGACCTTTCTCTCCCTATGATCATCAAGAAATAAAAGATTAACAGTATTCAATAAAGAGTATAAAAGTAAAAAGAAAAAATAATTAGAAACAAGACAAAAACTAGACATTTCTACTCTATTAATTTCAAAATCCAAACATGATTTCAAATTAGGCAGGGGATTATCTATATGCCTGTCCATCTATTTCATGTAATAAAATCGATGAACAACAGCTTGTTTCCAGTTCTATTGTCTAATGGCACTGGGTATCTGTAATTTAATAATAGAAAATTTCCATGATCCATTTCTGGGTTTAACAATGTATATCACATGTCATCCTTATCGCCTAGCAGGTGATGGCTGCTAGTGTCAGTAGAATGAGTGGGGACTATGCAGTGTAGGTGGGAGGATAAACACAAAACAAGCAGTGCCAACAATGTGATGTGAGCTCACACTCCATACCAAGCCAGATATACCTGATCACCTTTTGGTCCTTGAATTCCCTGGAAAAGATAAGACAGCGATTATAGATCAATGTTGGAAAAACATAACAATTTTAAAGTTGGGAAATAAAGTGCAACTGGAGTGACTGTTTGTTAATACACTAACATAAATGAACAAGCTTTAAAAAAACAACAAAACAGTACAAGAGAAGGAGAGATTGATAATGTATTGTGCTGATAAAGCACTGGACAAACATGCATATATAATAGGACTAGCTGGCATTTGTCAATAGTCACATAGCGTGGTATACTGAAAATATAAAGAAAAGCAATCAGGATTGTCAGTCTCTTGAACTATGTGTTTCTGGAGTTAGACTCTTATAATCTTCACTCACCAAGCCATTCCCGGAGAAGTACAAGTTTCTTAAAATGAGTTTCAATGTATTAGACATACAAGTCACTTTTCCAAATAAAAGTACCCAAATACAATGTTAATCACTATTTGATGGGTGTGCTATGATTTAAAGTTTTCTCATATTTTTGTATGTCTGAACCTATTGCAAAGCAACATTTAGTCTTAAAAATAACTTATCTTAGTAGAGACACACAGTGATTATATTATTATATATTATAATATAATTATAAGATTATATGAAACCATCTTGAATTAATATTTGAATGCTTTGTTTCTTATTTGCTTTCAAGCATTGCTTCTTAACTTAAGTTTAAGGTCAGTTTTCAAAAACATACATAGTTCCCACTATTCTATGCTCCCTGTGCTAATCAGTGCTAATCAGTGATAGGGTCGCACAGACCCAATATCATACACAACGGAAGTCCCTGTGGCCTTGGCTCGTGAAGCAGCTAGGAGGCTAGCGTCCTGCTCACAGACTATCGACCCTGTCCCCAAAAGAACAAAAAAAAACTATTGTCACTGTGGCAAACCTAGCCACTCGGACTATAACTGGACACTATGCCTTTAAGGGTTGCCTATAGGTCTGGAGAGAGATGCATTGTACCTGTATGTGCCTGCTTCATGTATTCCCTGCATTGCCTGTACTTATCTGTTCCGCCGAATGCAAATGGCGGTTTGTATGGGGATTCCCGTTCGTTTCGCGAACGGCACTTTGGAGGGCCGTTCGTGAAACGAATGCGATACCCCCTAATAGCCCACACACTTAGAGGCGTGTGGCGCTAGTTAACCGATTGCAACATTGTTGCAATCGGTTATTAGAGGCGCTCCTGGGTGGCCGTCGTTCGACTACCGACTATGCGGCGGTCGGCCATCTTGGATCCCTGGTTCGTCAGCGGGTCCGGGTCGTCGAACGCATAGCATTACCAACAGTTATTCGACGGCACGAACACCGCTAAGCCTCCAGGACGTTCGGGAGTTTCAGGACCAGGTTCACTAAAAGCAATCGGTTCTTTTCATGTGTTTTGAAAGAAATGTGTTTTCTGTGCGGCGTTCGGTTATTTTAGCTGGGATCTAGGCGACAATCTCACGAATGATGCGCCTAGACCCCAGCTATCTACCGAACGTCCATTCGTGTAAATCCACCGTATATTGTACCAGCTGTAGATTTTTGTGTGAATTGCCGGTTTTGCTGCACGAGGGGATAATCCCCTTAACGGTGCATTCTGGGAGGATGATCCCTCTCGTGCAGCGGTGCCTGATGGGAGAAATATGTGGTACTGTAAGTCCCCCATGTAGTCCCCTCCTGTACAACCCCTGTAATGTCTGTTTGGAAACCCCTTGCATGGGGAATTGCATAAATACTGTGCCCTGTGATTAAAACCTCAGTTGACTCCCAGCCTATGTGTCGTCTAGTTCTTGGGAAGGAAGGGTTACTGCAGTGCTGTTTGGATTATTATATGCTGATTCCCTGGATTATCCTTTGTTGTTCCTGTTACCCAGTGGAGATATCGTGGATCATACTGCCTCTCCGCTACAATTGGTGGCAAGCGACGGGATTGAATTTACACAGCAAAGCAACGTTCGGCAGATTTTTAAACGAATCAAGGAACAAGCGTTCGGGAATCAGCGCATTCGAATAAACCTCACGAACAGCAGGTGAATGGGAACAGATTACACCCTGCTAAAACGGAGCACATTAAAGGAGCTGCTGGAAGCAAGAGGAGCAATCGCCAGTAACAAGGCAAAGGCTGTCCTAATTACGGAGCTCATGGAAGGAGACAGAGCCGCAGCTGCTGCAGCACCTCAAATGGAGGGACAAAACAACGAATTTACAGCGGAATTCCGAGCACGAATGGCTTTATTTCCTGAACCACCATCTACAGAAATGTTTAACCGGCTGTTCGCTGATGTACAGGAGTACTTTATGGCTAGGGGACCGCCAGGAAACCAGCAAGCCAGAGAAAGAGCCGCAACGCCAGTCCATATTTTCCCAGGGAAAACCAAAATCCCATATCAAGCCTTCAAAAGCTATGTGGAGACAGAGGGTGGCGTTGACGACTATTTACAGGATTTCGAGAGACTGTGTTTGCTGCACGAAATTAATGATGCAGACAGAGTACCCCTACTAGCGGGGAGATTATCTGGGCGAGCCGCCGAAGCGTACCGGGCAGTACCAGACGAGGATAGTAGAGACTACGCTAAAGTAAAACGGGCCATCCTAGCCCGGTATGCCATCACATCAGAGGCATACCGAAAGAAGTTTCGGGACATTAAAAAACCCAGTAAGGACACCCATGTGGAGTGGGCGCACCAGCTACAACGAGCTGCCAAAGGGTGGCTGGAGGCCGCCCAAGTTGATACATTGGAAGGTCTGTTCCAGCTAATGGTACTGGAACAATTCTTCAATGGCGTCCCGACCTACCTACAAAACTGGATCTGGGACAGAAAGCCACACACCCTGCAGGAAGCGGCTAATATGGCAGACGATTTCCAGGACAATCGGAGAGATCAACCCATACCCACCCGAGCCACCATCCCCCCTACAACGGCCAGTCCTCCAGGGGGCCCCGCAACGTACCAGCGACCAGGGGTAAACCAGAATTCCTACCCCCCCAGATATTCAGCACGTCCACCAATCCGGTGCCATACCTGCAACCAACAGGGACACATCCAGAGAGACTGCCCACGGAACCGGCCTCGACCCAGCTGGAATAACGCCGCCCCGAGCAACCGTGCCGCAGTCCACTGTTTACAGGCCGAATCCTACCAAAATCTGGAGTTGGGGACGACCCGGGAGGAACCCCTCGGTACTCTACACGAGGTGAACCCTATCCAGGCCGCCTCCGATAACCGCCAAGGACACCGCCAGGAAGTACACATGGAAGGGAGGAAAGTACAAGGACTTCGTGACTCGGGAGCTACCCTAACTCTAGTACGCAGTCATCTGGTACCCAAGCCCAAGCTCACGGGGGACTGTGTGGCTGTACGGGTGGCTGGGGGAGCCATTTACAAAGTACCCACGGCCAAGGTGCACTTGAATTGGGGAGCGGGGCACGGGAATGTATATGTGGGGATGATGCAAGACTTGCCAGCGGATGTGATTTTGGGCAACGATTTGGGGGAGCTGACTTCGGCTTTTGTTCCACAGCCCACCGTACAAGAAGCATACCCGGTTGTGACCCGGCAACAGGCCCGCACCACTGCACCATTCGAACACTCTGAGGCTCAGGTAAGCAATGACCCTCCCCTACCCCCTACCCTGCCCTGGGCCAATTCCATAGAGTTCGGGGCCGAAGTAGCCCTAGATCCTTCGTTACAGGTGTACAAAGACCGCATGGATAAAAAATCAAGCTGGGTTAGAGGGGGAAAGATATATCTGGGACAAAGGGCTACTATATCGGCACGCAGAGAAGGTAGTGTCCGGGTCAATACCGTTGCCCATTAAACAGCTAATAGTGCCTCGAAAGTATAGGTTAGAGCTGTTACGCATAGCCCATGATATCCCTCTGTCTGGACACCTAGGCATCAGTCGGACCAAGCACAGGCTGACCCAAAATTTCTTTTGGCCAGGTATTTCCCAGGATATTAAGCGGTATTGTCAGACCTGCGATACCTGCCAAAGGGTAGGCAAGAGGGGGGACAGATACAAAGCCCGACTACGGTCTCTGCCCATCATTGAAGAACCATTCAGTAGGGTGGCAGTAGACATCATAGGTCCCCTTGCAAAACCCAGCCCCTCCGGCAAGAAGTATGTCCTAACTGTGGTGGACTACGCCACCCGGTACCCCGAGGCAGTGGCCCTACCGAACGTACACGCAGAAACGGTAGCCGAGGCCCTGATGAGGATATTCACCCGGGTAGGATTTCCCCGGGAGATTATCTCCGATAGAGGCACCCAGTTTACTGCTGAAGTGACCCATCAGCTCTGGAAAATATGTGGGATACAACAAATCCTCAACTCCCCATACCACCCCCAGTCCAATGGGCTCTGTGAACGGTTTAACGGAACCCTGAAACAAATGATCCGCACGTTCATGGACACCCAAAAGGACTGGGAGCGGTTTTTACCCCACCTACTGTTCGCGTATCGAGAGGTGCCGCAAGAATCCACCGGATTCTCTCCGTTCGAATTATTATTCGGGAGGAGAGTGAGGGGACCTCTTGACTTGATACGGGAGCACTGGGAAGGAGACGAAACCGTTAATGGCACCCCTATCTTACCATATGTGCTCGAGTTCCGGGAACGCCTGGAGAGGCTAACCCAGACCGTCCGAGACAATCTCCAGGTAGCGCAACAACGACAGCGCCGATGGTATGATAAGGGAGCCAGGGACCGCAGCTTTCAAGTGGGGCAGAAAGTCCTAATCCTGCGACCCGTCCACAAAGATAAGCTGCAGGCTTCCTGGCAGGGCCCATACAAGGTGGTGGAACAGATCTGTGACACCACCTATGTGATCGGCCCGGTTACCGGCGTGGGAGGCAAACGCATGCTCCATGTGAACATGCTCAAGCCATACCACGAACGTACTGAGGAAGTCACCGCAATCTGTGCCCCTGCCACGGAAGATTTTGATAACCTACCCCTACCCGATCTCCTAGACCAAGAGGGCCAGAGCGGAGATCTGGGAGAGGTACAGTTAGGAGAAAGATTAAATACCCAAGAACGGGCACAGGTACAAAAGTTGCTTCGGGAAAAGAAGGCCACGTTTTCCAATTTACCCGGCTATACCCCGTTGGCTACCCATAAGGTAGAAACGCTAGATCCGACCCCCTTGCGCCAACCCCCATACCGCACTCCAGAAGCAGTCAAGGAAAATATGCGCAAGGAAATTGAGGAGATGATTCAGCTAGGAGTAATAGAGCACTCGGACAGCCCCTGGGCCTCCCCGGTAGTACTGGTGCCGAAACGGGATGGGACGACCCGTTTCTGCGTAGACTACCGACGGCTCAACGATAAAACGACCTCTGACGCATACCCCATGCCACGAATAGACGAACTCCTCGACAAGATGGCCAGGGGTCAATACCTAACCACTATAGACTTGTGCAAAGGGTACTGGCAGATTCCCTTAGCGGAAGACGCCATCCCTAAGTCGGCTTTTGTCACCCCGTTTGGCCTGTATCAGTTTAAGGTTATGCCATTCGGGATGAAAAACGCTCCAGCTACCTTCCAGAGAATGGTGGACAGACTGTTAGATGGGTTCCAGGAGTATGCCTGCGCGTATCTAGATGATATCGCCATATTCAGCCACTCCTGGCACGAACATCTGGTTCACATAGGAGCCATTCTAGACCGAATCCGAGAGGCCGGACTGACCCTAAAACCCAGCAAATGCCATATCGGTATGGCGGAAGTCCAGTATCTGGGGCACCGGGTAGGGAGTGGGCAACAGAAACCCGAACCTGCTAAAATAGAGGCAGTCGCCCAATGGCCTACCCCTCGCACCAAGACCCAAGTGCTCGCCTTTTTAGGGACCGCCGGGTACTACCGGAAGTTTGTGGCCAACTATAGCGCCCTCGCCAAACCCCTCACAGACCTGACCCGCAAGAACCTCCCTAAGTTAGTAGTCTGGGCCCCAGAGTGTGAGCAGGCGTTCCAACAGCTCAAGACGGCGCTGGTTAACTCTCCTGTACTTTCTGCTCCTGATCCAACTAAACGCTTTCTCGTCCACACAGACGCTTCTATGTTTGGATTGGGAGCAGTACTGAGCCAAGTTGGACCCGATGGCGGCGAGCACCCCGTAGCTTACCTAAGCCAAAAACTTTTACCCAGGGAAGTAAGCTACGCCGCCATTGAAAAGGAGTGCCTGGCTGTGGTGTGGGCCCTCAAGAAGTTGCAACCCTACTTATACGGGCAACCCTTCACTTTACTCACGGATCACAACCCGTTGGTGTGGCTGAACAGGGTGTCCGGAGACAATGCCAGGCTGCTGCGCTGGAGTTTGGCGCTGCAGCCTTTTGACTTTACTATCCACTACCGCCCTGGGAAGCAGAATGGCAACGCCGACGGGTTGTCTAGACAAACAGACTTGGAGCCGTGATTCGTGAGTACTCCTCCGGACATCCCCAAGCCGATCCGTTGGGATCAGACTGTGTATGCCGGCTTGGTTCTGGGGGAGCATTGTGGCAAACCTAGCCACTCGGACTATAACTGGACACTATGCCTTTAAGGGTTGCCTATAGGTCTGGAGAGAGATGCGTTGTACCTGTATGTGCCTGCTTCATGTATTCCCTGCATTGCCTGTACTTATCTGTTCCGCCGAATGCAAATGGCGGTTTGTATGGGGATTCCCGTTCGTTTCGCGAACGGCACTTTGGAGGGCCGTTCGTGAAACGAATGCGATACCCCCTAATAGCCCACACACTTAGAGGCGTGTGGCGCTAGTTAACCGATTGCAACATTGTTGCAATCGGTTATTAGAGGCTCTCCTGGGTGGCCGTCGTTCGACTACCGACCATGCGGCGGTCGGCCATCTTGGATCCCTGGTTCGTCAGCGGGTCCGTGTCGTCGAACGCATAGCATTACCAACAGTTATTCGACGGCACGAACACCGCTAAGCCTCCAGGACGTTCGGGAGTTTCAGGACCAGGTTCACTAAAAGCAATCGGTTCTTTTCATGTGTTTTGAAAGAAATGTGTTTTCTGTGCGGCGTTCGGTTATTTTAGCTGGGATCTGAGCGACAATCTCACGAATGATGCGCCCAGACCCCAGCTATCTACCGAACGTCCATTCGTGTAAATCCACCGTATATTGTACCAGCTGTAGATTTTTGTGTGAATTGCCGGTTTTGCTGCACGAGGGGATAATCCCCTTAACGGTGCATTCTGGGAGGATGATCCCTCTCGTGCAGCGGTGCCTGATGGGAGAAATATGTGGTACTGTAAGTCCCCCATGTAGTCCCCTCCTGTACAACCCCTGTAATGTCTGTTTGGAAACCCCTTGCATGGGGAATTGCATAAATACTGTGCCCTGTGATTAAAACCTCAGTTGACTCCCAGCCTATGTGTCGTCTAGTTCTTGGGAAGTAAGGGTTACTGCAGTGCTGTTTGGATTATTATATGCTGACTCCCTGGATTATCCTTTGTTGTTCCTGTTACCCAGCGGAGATATCGTGGATCATACTGCCTCTCCGCTACAGTAGGCATCAGCGGTGTTCGGCAGAATAAGTGTCCGGAAAAGAGTTCCAGGGCATCGCCACCATATACCGCTGAGCGTTCGACAATTTAAAATGGCGACTGCTACGTGTTCGACAGACGAACGTGGACCACCAAGCTATTCCCTAATTACTCTCCTGGGGAACTTCCCTATAGGCAAAGAGCAAATGAGGAAGGAACTTTTCCCAATTCCGACAGGTCTCTGTGAACGTGATGAGCATTTGTTTAAGGGTACCGTTAAAACGCTCACAGAGGCCATTGGTCTGGGGATGATATGGGGAACTTAATATGGGTTTTTCCCCACAGCTCTGCCAGAGCTGTTGGGTAACCACTGCTGTGAATTGGGTTCCTTGATCTGACACTATCTCCCTAGGGAACCCCACTCTAGTGAACACCTGCACCAATGCTTCCGCTACCGTCTCAGCATGTATATTTGACAGAGCTATTGCCTCGGGGTAGCGGGTAGCGTAGTCCACCACAGTAAGAATGTATTTCTTACCGGATGGACTGGGTTTGCTGAGTGGCCCGACTAGATCAACTGCCACCCAGAAAAATGGTTCCTCAATGATGGGTAGGGGACGTAGTTTTGCCCTGGGGTGATCCCCTCTCTTTCCTACCTTTTGGCATACCTCGCAGGTCCGACAGTAATCCTGCAAATCTCTAGTGACCCCTGGCCAGAAAAATGACTGGGTGAGTCTGTCTCTAGTCTTTTTTATGCCTAAGTGACCTGCTAGGGGAATATCATGGCTAATCTGTAATAATTCCCCCCGATACTTACGGGGCACTATTAATTGTATTTTTTCTACCTGGCCCGCTCCTTTCCCTGTCCCCCCGGTCACCCGGTATAATAAACTCTTTTCCCAGATAAATCTTGCCTGATCTCCGTCTCCCTGGGGTTGATCTGCCTCATTCCGATACCCTCTTAATGTGGGATCTTCCCACTGGGCTTGCTCAAAGTCTTGAGGAGTACCCCAGTAAGAAGTATGGTCAAGATTAACTGTCAGGGGGTTATTGCTTACCTGGTCATGGGTTGAGGGGGATGCCTCCACAGCTCTGGATTGCTGACGGGTGGTAACAGGTAGTGCCCCCTCTGGACTGCAGGCTGCCAATTGGGACGTCAAGCATCCTAAATCATTTCCCAACAATACTTCCGCTGGCAAATCTGGCATGATGCCCACTTCCACAGCCTTGGCCCCAGTACCCCAATCAATGTGTACCTGAGCTGTTGGCAGTTTATGAATTGCCCCTCTGGCCACCCTTACAGCAATGGTGCGTCCTGTGTGCTGGGCCGGGGTGACCCGGTGCGGCTGGACCAGGGTAATAGTAGCCCCGCTGTCTCTTAGTCCCTTAGCCTCTTGTCCATTTAGCTTTACTGACTGGCGGTGGTGCGCCCTGTTATCCCCAGCCGCTTGTACAGGGTTCACCTCATGTAAGGTGGCCCAATTTTCACTGTTGTTACTGGGTACCCCTTGAGTCGGATCGTCTTAATCCTCTTGCACACAGTGTGCGGCTGCCTTGGTCGGTGGCACCAGTGTCTGCCCCCAGCGGTCTGTATTACGTTGTGGGCAATTAGGTTTGATGTGTCCCACTTGCTTGCACCCATAACACATCGGAGCAGTCTTTTGGTATCCCTGATTTGTGGTATTGCCCCCCGATGGGGTTACCCTCTGTGGCGTAGGTTGAGGACCAGATGAGGGTCGCGGTCCAGAGAACCCTCGATTTCCATCTAGCCGTCTGCTCTCATGGAATTTATCTACCAACCTTGCTGCCTCCTCTACCATCTCTGGCTTTCTATCTCTGACCCAGTCTCTAACCTCCGCTGGAGTGTAATCAAAAAACTGCTCCAGTAGTATTAATTGTACAGCATCCTCTAAGGTAGTTGCCTGATTCCCTTGCATCCAGTTACTGGCAGCGCGTTGCATCCGAAATGCCCACTCGGTATACGAATCCTTGCCTTGTCTCCTGAGGGCCCGGAATTTCCTTCTGTGGGCTTCAGGAGTTACAGCGTACCGAGCTAACAAAATCTCTTTTATTTTCCTATAGTTTTGTATATCCCCATCTGGCACGGCTCTCAATGCTTCTGCTGCTCTGCCGGATAATTTGCTGCTTAATACCGCAGCCTAGTTAACCCTTTCTAAATCTTCCAATACACATTGTCTCTCAAAATCTTGTAAGTAATTATCAATATCCATCTCACCTTCCACAAAGCTTTTAAATGCAGTGTAGTTGATTTTTCGATGTCGCCCCATTGTAGATCCAGATAGCGACAATATATCCACAGGAGGTGATCTGTCTCTGGCTTCTCGGGCTTCTCTGGCATTCTGGTTCTCCGTAGCTTGTGCCAAGATCTGTACCACGATCTCTGGTGCAGGGTTAGGTCCTACCAGGCTGAGTCTCCATCTCACATCCCTTTGGAACTCTGTTTCCGCTGCATTCGCCATTTGTTGTTCGCCAGTTTGATCGCTCTCCAGTAGTTCGGCTGTTAACGTGGCTTTCGGTTTATTGCTTGCCACTATACCTCGAGCTTCCAGCAGTTCCTTCAATGTTGTTCGTTTCAAGTGTTCGTATCTATGCGCCATTCACCACTTGTTTCGGTTCGGTACATCCGTTCAGGAGAAAATCCTGCCGCTTGCCACCAGTGTAAAGGATCCTTCTATTCGTGCAGTACTGATACTTGTAGCTTCTCCCAAAATCCAGCTGGAACAAAGTGATTATAGCTTCCAATCCCCCAAACATGAGTCGAGACTTCATGAAGGGGTAAAACGATCTGATTTAATGGGGATTACCTGCCCGGTATTTATGCAGGTCTCCCACCTGGTGGACACTCCCCTAGGGGACCAAATGGAAGACTGGGACACAAGAATTACAGTAGCCAATCGCAGTAGCTTTAACATAAGCACTCCCCTTTTACATAAGTAACTCCCTCCTTTCTATCCTGGAGATAATTAACTTAAGTTAGTAAAAGGAACCTTAATTATCTCCAGGTAGTGAAAAACATGGCTTTTCATATATTCACCAAACAGCATAAAAATCTATAACTTATTTTTTATCACACTAAAACATTAACTCCCACATACCCCCAGATAGCTGAGTGCATATTATAGGCGAATAGCGCTCAGATCCCAAGAACACAGTTCTCAATATCGTCAAATTAAGTTTGGACTTCACCGGCGGTTCACGTGTTTGTATCCGACAAAGAGTTCCGCAACTGTAGCTATCTGGGGTCGGTCTATTTTGCATAAATCCAAGTCCCGAACAGTGAAATGTTACCGGCATTCGTGTGTTTCCAGCCGTATGAACGAGGACCTTGGTAGGCATCAGCGGTGTTCGGCAGAATAAGGGTCCGGAAAAGAGTTCCAGGGCATCGCCGCCATTTACCGCTGAGCGTTTGACAATTTAAAATGGCAACTGCCACGTGTTCAACAGACGAACGTGGACCACCAAGCTATTCCCCAATTACTCTGTGGTTAACCGCAAAGTTTGGGTGGATAATGGGCGCCACACGACCTCAGTAGGAGGTCGGGTAATTCGGCAGTTTATTCGTTTTATTGGTATTTGCACAAAATCACCCCCCACATGCATAAATAACCGAACAGGCTGCTACGTATAGTCTGGTTAATAGGGAATTTCGTTACAATAATGTATATGAAAGAGGAAGATTATAGAATATGTAGCAAAATATTTTATATTTTTAGGAATGGTATTTACTGACAACATTGTTTTCTTATCCTTAACTCCATTACTTATGTTTTAATCTTCTATCTAACCAACATTTTCCTTTTTAATTCTATTAGATATATTATCTGTGCTTACTGAAATTAAAAATGCAATAAAACATACTAGGGGTAGTTTTTTGCAAAGTGCTATGCAGTGAAGGGGTTATATGATAAAATACTGTATAAGAAAAAAAACATTTCTGCTGTAAAATAGATACTGTGAAACTTCAGAATTATCCTTTCTGTCTTGTGTAAATAATGGTGAAATCCATAAAATATGTCATGCAATAGGTTTGCTGAATTTCAACTTTAAGATATTTGGTTTAAAGTATACTGTTAATTCACCTTCATGGTGTCATGATATAAAATAAAAGATAAGAATCCATAAATCAATTTTCTGAGCCAATTTCTGGGATGACATATTCAGTATTTACTTTTTTTTTTCTTCTCACAAATGCTGATAGATTAAAAACATCATTTTTAGCAAGAGGTGTACTGAAAAATGAATAAGACGTACAGAGTGTGTAGGGTGTATATTGTCAATCATGATTTCATAATCCACAAGATGCAGGTAGGGTCAGAGATCACAGCATACAATTTATTGCAATCTGCAGAAGGATTACAAGCAGTTCAAATATACATTTTACATGCCACATCATAACAAGTGAGAAATGTCTACAAAGTAAAAAAGTGCATGCTTTTCTGGTTTGACTTTATACTTAAAAAGGATTTAAAGTAATGTTGTACACATTTTACAGAAAGAAAAAAATACTTTTTAAAAAAGAACATTTGTTTTCTTCAATACAAAATCATATATTAAAATCATATTAAAGTCATATATAGCAGGGTCAATCTGAGTGCAAGGACTTGGTTATATATATATATATTTTTATTTTTTTTTATTTATTTTTTTTTCATTTTATTGACTTCAATGATTGTGTCAATCATAGGAAAAAGAAAGTTACTTGAACAGACTCACAATAAAAATTCAGGATTAAAATTAAAATTGAACGATGAAATATTAAAATGGAGGCAATCATTTAACTCAGCATCGTGCTTAAGGACATAATATGCAAGATTAAAAATGGCACCTCACACATTTATGAAAAATCATTTAAAATATATTAGTCTATGCTCCTCCATAAAGAGGAGAGAATGATAACATGAGCGATAGAGGGTTTTTTGTCCCATGAAATATCAGTTTCTAATGACTAGAGAGCTTGCTTGTAGTTAAAAATCTTACTAGTTGGATTGATTATTTTATACAGCTCTGCTATTTATCCTTACTTTTGCATTTAATTACTGTTAATTTTGTCAGTTATAAATGGCTGTTTATTGTGAATCAACACCAGTATTAAGTGTTGAGAACCATATATTTTTAGAAACATTGGATAATATAGAAAATGTAGTTCAGAAAATTCCAAAACTATCAAAAGTATACAATAAAACAAGTTAAACCACCATAACTAATTTATTTTTAAGTATGTTGTTAATTCTAAGCATCACAACTAATACAGTCCACCAAGTCAATCCCTGAATCCCTTGTTTATATATAGTTTATTCATAGTATGATGTTTTTGATAGTATGATGTCATCACTGTGTCTTAATTATGCTGTGCACATTTTATGGGGTTTGTACACAGTTTAATTGCCTTTTACACATGACACTGCTTTTATAAGTATTCTTACACTTTTGTATACTACATATAAGTTTTAGTTTGTGTTTATATTTGCTTAACACTGTTTAATAAACATGCCTTCGATCCTCCTTACGTGCCCAGTACAATAGTAGACTCTGAGTTGGAGACACTCTGTTAGTCTGTTTTACATATGCTATTCTATATTTCTATTTACCATCTACCAAATACTAATTTAGTTTTCTTGACAGCTTTATTAGAATGAGTATGGTATGCTGAGGATAAGGGCAACGTGAAACCCATGTCCAAGCAGACACTTCTCCAGAATCTGGAACTGAACTGTCTTCCTGTCATGGTACCTGTCCTTAATTGCCA